CAAAGAAAATAAACATTTTAGGTCAAACAAAAATGTGCATTTGTGCCACATTTAAATATTTATATGTTATTCAAATGAAGCAGATTGATGCCAATTATTTGTGTATCTGACAGTTTTGCCCTGCTCCAACTATACTGCTATTAATGGCTGAAGAACTAAACTAAATGTGTGCAGGTGAAAAATATGAATTCACTACTTGTAACATACTCGGAGTCTTAACAAAATCATTACATTACTAAAAATTGCAAAAGAATGGGGTTTTGACAGCTGAATCACTGACTGGAAACAATTCTTCTGAAAAAAAAAAAAAAGCAGCACTTTTTTTAATAAATATAATCAACGGTCTACAGTAAAAGACATTTCCCAAAAATAGCCAATAAAATCAACTATTCAGAGACATTGCCGTGAACTAAAGAACTTATGAAACAGCTTTAATGTTTTTATTAGGCACTGTCTCTCCAGCTATTTGAATGAAGCAATAACTGAAGTTTCAAAGTACAAATGTCTCTAATCATGCTGAAAGAAGATAAAAAAAAAAAATCTCCCCTTAGGAATCCAATTAACTGCGTGACTATTATTTGTTGGGGTTTTTTGTTTGTTTGTTTTACGAATATATATGAGTGTTTTCCCTCTAGCATGAAAAAAGTAATACCTCTCTAATTACAGCACTGGAACTATCAGGAACAGTCAACTTTGCTTGCTTTTCCTATTGTATAACTTACATTTTACCTATTATTTAGAAAACACTGAAATTTCAACCTCCAAAGTGATTGCATGTGATTCAAAGGATGAGGGGAGGGTACGTAGAGCATGGCCCTACACCCCAGAGTGAGGTTCCCTCTAGGAGAGGAATTGTGCAATACCAGTTCATCTTCAGAAACAAGAAAATGTTACCCCCTTCCTTTCATCAGCTCCTCATTTTTTAAACTGCTTTACAAATTTTCTGTGTTGTTTACAAACTCCAGACCAAATTCTCCACTATTACAAATAGGTTAAACTCAGATGTCTTAATTTTCTTTGCAACAGCTTGCAAATTCCTCCTTCAGCTCCATCTCCTGTTCTCCATTAAGCTCTAGTACTTAAAAAAATAACATTTTTAAACTATCATTGGCCAACTTAAGTAAGAATGTAAAACCAGATGGCAATTTTTCTTCTAAGTCCTTCCACAGTTTTCATTCTCTGTAATTGAAAACATTTTTATCATACTCCCTGTACTTAGGTAAAAAATTACTTTGTTAACATGTTAACTTTTCCTTACCCAGTATCTTTAAAATACTTAAATCCTAGCATCTTAATGCCATAGCATCCCTTCAAGTCCAAGTTTGTTGCCTTTTATCTCAATCTTTTATCATTAATCTATTATTGTTCCTTATCACATTTGGGTACCAGTGAATCTACTCTTAATATGAGGTCTGCTAATAAAACACACAGTAGTGTGTTAAATGCTTGCATATTAAGTATGCTTGCATATTATGCAGAAAACAGTAAAGTGATATCTATGGCATGTGCTCCATCCATTGCTATGAAATGTAGTTTACAGTTTGTAAAAATAAATGCAATAAATATCAGGGCCAAACTGCCAGGTTTATTCCACGAGCAGGTAACGGTTTCTTTACAACTCTGTTAAGTATCTGGACATCCCTGAACAAATTCTCTTCACCAAGTGGACAGAATTTTACTCCTTATTGCCATGACCAAGCATGAAAATTTTAAATGAGGTGTCGGGAATCAGAAGTCCTTTTGAAAATGGTAAAACTAATCTCCTGTTAAAGGTACAGATACAAAAAATGTTATAGAAAAGGTCTGAATCTGACTTGAACCAAGAGAGTTTGAATATATCTGATTTCAGGAAACTTTAAATTTGATTCTCTTTCTTAATCACTTAATGTATGATTTGAAAACTTCACTGTAAGTGAAGGTGTCCTAAGCAAGTGTGCTCGCTTTTATTTATTACCACATCATCATTTCATTATTATTTATTTTTGTATCTAAACCTATTAACTGCATTATTACTATTACTATTATTACTATTTGGATTGTAGTAAAATAATTGTTTATTTTCTCTATGCTAATAATTATCAGTGTCCTGGTTTCAGCTGAGATTGAGCTAATTTTCTTTCTAGTGGTTGCTGTGTTTTCAGATTTGGTATGAAAGGAATGTCAATAATGCATGTTGTTTTAGTTGTTGCTAAGTGATGTTTATAGTAGTCAAAGACTTTTTTCCCCTTCCCATAGAAGCTGAGAGGGAGCATAGACAGAACAATGGAATATTCCATATAGCAGATATCAGTTCCATAGATGTCATGCTTGGTATATAAATGGTGGTTGGCCTTGGGGGGCAATATCTGTGATCACTGCTTGGGACAGGCTGGGCAACCAATTCACCAGGTGACTTTTGTCTTGTATATTATTTTACTATTATTATTATTGTTATTAATATTTTCCATTTATTGTTCTATTAAACTGTCTTTATCTGAACCCACATGGATTTTTTTCTGTTTCCCCTCCTTTTCTCCCTACCCTTCTAGGGGGGGAAGGGGGATTGAGAGAGAGGCTGCCTGGTCTTACTTGCTGGCTGGTGTTAAACTACGACAATCAGCTACTGTAATTAGCTTCACAATAGCCAGTAAATATGATGGCTTATAGATGAAACATTCCGTAAAAACAAGACACTGGACCAGTCATGTGCTCAGTGATATTATGAGTGAATGGTATTTAAAAAATATTAGCACTGAGAGCTGCACGATCCAGTTTGTGAGCTGATAGTGCAGGGTACAAACTGGAAGAAAGTGCTTCCACTAGTGAGGGGCTTCCTGGTAGGCAGCAGCTCAGTGGTGAGTATTCAGCCTTCAAGAGTCTCTAGCTGCTTTGGTTAATTTATTTTGTACAGCCTTCTGGCTACACACTAGTCATTACTTGTCTATAGTTCCTGCCCAGACCTCGGTTGCTTGTGATGTGTTTTCTACCACGCGCAAGTCTCTGTTCTACTTCCTCGGCTTCACAGTCTGTGATGCTATCCAATACCCACCTCATCTCA